GAGAGCGGCGAAAGCAATGATCTAAAAAGTTACAATTATTAAATAAAATCACCCAATTCTTCATTTAACACTTCTCAACGTACCAGTTTCATGATGAGGTTGTTGTAGGTTCGTTGATTGAACTAACTATGGTCAAAACACACGGTTGACCATCTTTTATACGTGAAATTTCATATAAAAAATATACGACTCACTAACTAGAAAATATTGCAAAATAAGATGTCCGATGACCTCTAATTCTTGTCGCATAACTTTTACTTAAATTTTTGGAATCTTATTCTCATCGGGTATTACGTGTGCCGCCGATTCATCTGTTAACAAATGCGAGTGGGCGTGAACAATTTCTTGATTATTGTCACATTAATTATACTAATTATAAAGAAATTACACGAAGAATTAATGAATTAATTGACACGTTAATAACCTTTAGGTTTATTTCTCAAATATGTTAATCTTAGAAGAGTATTTGTTGAGACCTTGCGTTTTAATAAGAATTATTTAACACAATATACGTCGATATAAGAAATGATGAACGTTTTCACTCTAAATATTGTCATAATGTAGTCTTATAAAAATAAATATCAGACGAAAAGTACTATTGTCAATAATAATAAATAATTATAATTATTCTTATTTGCTGATATATTTAATTTATAAATAATAAGAACAATTTTAAATCAATTATATCGGACCAAACCTTCCATAAATTTATTTTTTTTAGCTTTCTGAATAACTATTTTCTTTATTAGTTTTAATTAATAAAATTTCGTTTCAAATAAACGATTCTATGTCGTTCTTTGAACACATATAAATTATATGAGAAATCATTGATGTTAGTCTTATATTTCATTATGTGATTCAACTTATTATGTTGAATTCTGTAGTTTATCGTTCAATTTACAGTACACGACAAATTTTTATTTAGTAAATATTTTAATTTCAATATGAACAGATATTAGTAGTCTTTTTTATAATAAATATAGAACAATTATGTAATTTTCATTATTTATTTATCAAATCAACATAATTCGGCTATCTCCAGTAAATTGTTATATTCATTAGTAAAACTGTTTTTAATAGATTCTTGTTAGAAGAACCATGAAATCTTTCGGTTGCTTAATTATGTATATTTTTTTCTTTTGGCATAAGTTCTTCGATTAACCTTTTGGTTGAAAGTACTAATACATTTGTAATTATTATTATATATATTTATTTATACAGTGGAACCTCGCTTAATGAGAAAAATGAATTGTAAGGAAAATATACTCGTTTAACGAGCAACGTTTCGCATAACGAGTTACGAAGAGAAGAGAAGTCCCAGATTGCGCGCCTGTTACATAATTTTATAACTTGTGTACACATATTATGTGCATTTCTGAATATGTTTCACTAAACGAGTAAAAATCCGGAAATTTTGGAACGGATTAAACTGGTTAAGCAAGGTTCCACTGTATATTTTAATAAATACCAGAGTTTCATGATATGAAAAATTCAATATCATGTTAATCGATTGTTGTGAATATCATAAATAAGAGGATAATGGAAAAACAAGACAAAATATATAGAAATAATTTAATTTGCTATTCAGGTGTTTTTATCAGTTTTTATAGTAGTTTAGTGATCATCTTTTGGGATATGAGCGCCTTGTGGTTGGAAACCGTTCTCATCGGCAACATAGGTAACAGTGTAAGTGACACCATCAGCACCAATGTAAGAGAATTGTCCACGGACGGCGATGGCTTCGTTTTCAGTTCCAACGTTGATGAGTTGTCCTTGTTCAGAGGCGGAGATTCCATTGCTGGTCTCATAAGCGTGTTGGTATCCATCGACGCCGATGTTGTCCAACTCTTGCTTAACTACGTAAGCATCCTTATCCTCTTTGTGTTGTGGAGCAGCCAAAGCTACGGCAACGAGAGCGGCGAAAGCAATGATCTACAAATTTACAATTATTAAATAAAAAAATGCCGTCTTTAATTCACACTATTATGTACGCACCAATTTCATTTTTGTGTTGTTGTTGGTCTGTCGAGTAAACTGACTGTGCCGAAAAACTAAAACCGATCATCTTTTATACACGTATTTTTTTAATATAAAAAAAAAATAACCTCTGCGACGAACGAATTATTGCCAAACAGATGATGCGTGACCTTTCGATATTGTCGCTTCATTTTTTTCCTTGTAATTTGAATACTTGAATATAATTTAATTTGGTTTACGTTTGTATACTGTAATGAATGAATATAAAAAGTTTGAAAAATAACAGAAATATAAGTTTATATAAAGATTTTTAGTTAAATGTACATATAAACTGTTTTTGGATAAAAAAATGAGCGGGTAATTAATTTGAATATTTGCTCATGGATACATAGAATTTTAATTGCTAAACGTCTTCATTGCCTCCAAAATTTTCCACTCCATTTGGGGTAATTTACCCCGGTTTGCCGACCCTTATGGAATAGCAAATTTATTGGAAATACTCACTGGTGATGAATCTGCTGGTTTGTTATCAATAATGAGAAAAACTCTTATTAAATGTAGTTATAATAAATAGCGTAGGCAAGTTAATAAACTGCAAAACTATTTACATGAATTCAAAATATCTTGATTGATGAGAATTCTCATGAAATATAATGATTCTTATTAGAATGGGGACGATTTTCTAAGAGTAAACATATACATTCACACGGTTTAAAAACTTAATTGTCTAAAACTAAAGTAATAAATTCTATATAGAAGCTGAAATGTATAGGTCAATCAACCTAAATATTTGTTTTTAAATAAATATAATTGTAGTATCTTATAATATTTATGCTATAACATTTTGTAGAAAATGATGCTACTTAAATTTAGTTATGACTGCATTTATATTCGAGATTACATCAGCTGTTCATACATATTTTATCTATAAAGTAAACCCACGCGGGTAAATAAATATTGTTGTTTATTATATTATATAAACGACCAAAAAATCCAATTGATTACTTCTTGATGGAAAGTTATACTCGTGAATAGGAAATTTAAGTCACAAAACATTACCATCTTTTAAAAGGAAAAATATATTTGGATAGAAATATACATTTTTAGAGTTAGAGTATAATTTTAATTTACATCATTTTATAATCATTTTTTATTGTACATTTGAAATAATACTTAGACAATTTATTTACAAATTTTTAATGGCTCTTCTAATTTAGGTCAAATAGCTACCAATACTAGTTCTTTCTACTCGGAATTAAGGATTGATAAATATATTTGTATATAGTTTTGGAATCTTCGAAATATTTGTAATAAATATAACAATATTAAGAAATACATTTTTTTTGTAATACTTCAATAAGGGAATAGAAATAAATAATCAGGAATATTTTGATAAATTAATTTAATTTAATCAGAGATTTTCAATTATTTACATAATCATTAGCGAGTATTTAGTATTCTGGTTGTGGGATATGGGCACCTTGTGGTTGGAAACCGTTCTCATCAGTTCTTTTTATATTTAGTCACACTTTTACTTAAATCGTCTTCCAATATTATTTAACAATTTTACAAGTTCATTCATCAGACACGTAAACATTTTTATAATTCACATATTTTAAATGTACATTTAAAAACGAAAAATAATTTAGTGTATTTTTGTTTTCTTCAATTAAAATTTAGTCTAAGATTTTCAAACTGGATTATATTGAATCCGGACAGATAGAAGCCGGACTATGCGAGATATTGTTGTATTTTGTAATCTAAATTAAAGGTAATTATGACCTGTAATAGTATAGAAATATATCTACATTGTTATAACGCAATGAACACTGAATTGTTGTGAATGATGCAAATAAATGTTTATTTTTTCATTGGAATTCTCTTTAAATCGCATCATCTCAAAAGGAAGAGGTTATCTAGATATTGCTTTTGCGTGGTAAGATTTACTTTAAGCACGATATCGAAAATGCATTTACAAATTCTTACATTTTTTTTCAGAAATTTATAAATAAAGAAAATTAGGTCAACTTTGTTTTATTTAGATGCAATACGAAACTATATTTGGTAAGAAAATTCTCAATCGAAAATACTTCATCAATTGTACATCCTTTCTTTTAGATTACAAAATTTCTTAAATATTTTTTTCATAAATTTTAAATCTAATTTGCTTAATTTAATTATATTTACGTTATATAATTATTAAATATATATTGATTGCTTAAAATGAGAAAAAACTTAAATTAAGATTAATTAAATAATATGCGAAAAATATTCAACACAAACATCACACATACCGACACTCTGACATAAGAGATTACAAAACGCGTGGACGAAGATGTGTGTGTATGTATTTTATTTGTTAATTTAGGATTTTAATTGCATCATACTGTATCTACATTTATCTGTGTTTATGGCGAGGTGAAAGCTGGCCGTAAAACTTAATTAATTTGAGTTTACAAAAGAAAAACCATTGTGGTTTCGAATCTAGGATATACCTTAATGATGACTCAAATTATGTGAGATGTAATGTATCAAATGGAATTATTAACGATAAATTCCATTTGATACATTACATCTCACATAATTTGAGTCATCATTAAGGTATATCCTAGATTCGAAACTACCAGCAGAGCCATCGTTTCAAAATAATACCATAATTTATACACAAAGGTCAAGGATGTTTAGAGACGTGATTGATTTGAAAATTTGATGTTTCATGAAGGGAAACGTGCATATATTTAATATACATGAATTACATTAAGTATACAGATATGTTTAATAAATCAAGAATTATTATATTTTTATCAAATTCCTGGAAAAAATAATATTGACTATTTAGTTACATTTAGTAAAAACGAATAATCAATCAAGAATTTTCTAAAATATGAATACTAATTTTTGTTATTCATTAATTATTATATTTTTGAAATAATTTTCTTTATATTATTTCATTTTTCAGATATTTTGGAAATATCTTTCACATTTCAATTAAGTATGAATAATTGAAAATGTAAGATGTATATTGTATGCAAATACATTTTCCAGTATATAAATTCATTTATTTAATAATATTGATGTAATTACTATTTTGGTTAATAATAGAATTAGAGTAATCGTTTTTAAATAAATTTATTTATAAAATCTTTACCCACAAAATATAAAAACACAAAAAAAAACATATGAACAAATGAGCAAACGGTGGCGTTCGTATAATTACAATTAAAGTAAAGAAAAAAACTTGGCTGCAGAAGAGTGCTTCAGTTATTTAGGCAAATGTGCGCCCTCCGGTTGGTATCCATTTTCGTCGGCTACGAAATTGATGGTGAAAGTCTGCCCAGATTCGGGGTCAGTCCAAGTGAAGGATCCTTTGATCACAATGGCCGGTCCTTCGGTTCCGCCCAGATCCTTAAGAGTGCCCTCCTCATCACGCTTGGTACCATCGCTCGTCTCGAACCCAAATTTGTAACCATCAATGGCACCACCATTCTCGCTCTCGTATCGCACAATAGTAGCATCCTTACCACCCTGCGGTCTCGCAAGACAAACCCCGACCACCGACAGAACTAACAACAACTAAAACACATTTCATGCAACAAAACGAATGAAAATAAAGATCGCATAAACTCAGAATCATCATTATCACGCATAGAAAATATGCATGTAGTAAATAATGACTGTCAAAATAAATGCGTATAAGTGAATGATAAATATTATTATATGTCGTGTTGCACCTTTGTGTGGCCAAGACGAAGTGAAACTCACCGTTTTCATGATATCAGCAGCCGGTTTGTGTCTCCTCTGTCTGAGTGTGTGTGTCAACAACAATACTACAACAATGCACGTTATATCATTATTGCAATTATCCGCGCATCTTTATATACCGTCGAAGAAAAAGATGCATAGAAGGGGATGTTTGGGTTTCCCCACGCGAATCGCATCTCGTGCAATTAGCACATTAGGGACGACACTTAATTTTACTGCTGCTGCTACTTCTTCTGCAGCCGCTGTTCGCAATTATCGATGGCACACACGAATTTTTAATTTCAATACATTTCTGCAAACAAAACCCAATTAGAAATTTCGTAAATGCCATTCAAGCAGCGATAAACTAAGCAAACTGTTTGCAATGAAATAATATTTATTTTCTCTTTGTTGCAAACAATAACAGTTAGTAATTATAAAATTATTCTTTAAAAATTGAAAATAGTTACAAAATCGATACTCATAAGTAAATTTTGCAATTATTTACACATATATTCTTTTGTAGATAATTGCAAAATAATGCAAATAATATATTAATTATCAATTAAAAATAATAAATTATAATAACGTTTATTGAAATAATCATAAAAAAGTGGTAAAAGTAGTAGTCGTAATAGAAGTACACATTAAAAAGGGCTACTGTAGGAAGACCTATGCCTGACAATTGAACTTTACTATTGTCAGATATACTTTATTTTTTACATTCCAGTTTGATGTAATTATTATAGTCGATATATTTTGTTTCAGAGAAATTAATATCATGTTGGAGAATAAATAAGTGATGTATTTATAAATAATTGATATATGCTAAAGTGTAATTTACATTCGCTATATTACATTTTATTACAAACTTGAATATGAAGTAAGGCGACGAACCCAATAATAATTCTCACGTTACTTCTATAATACGGAGCAGTATAAAGTTGCTGCATCTTTTTAGAAAATCTGATGCAAAAAATATTTAAAAAATTGCCATACTGTAAAACCTTATTTAGAACTTCTTCGATAAATAGAATCGATTTATAGAAGTTTACTGTAAGACTAAAAATCTGTAAATTAATCTAACTTCTTTTCATGCTTGTCGTCAAGGAACGCAACTTAAGAGAAGGTTTTCTAATACTTGAAGAAAGGTAATTGCGTAAATTGTAAAAGTTCGCTTAGTTGGCGTTAATACATTTGTTTCTGATAAAACTAAAGTTGTTTCTCCATTACGTTGTTTCACGATTTCGTGTCAAATTTCAAGAAGATCGGTAAGAATGGATAGGAGAAAATGCAAGATTAGTGATGTGTTGTTGACAGAAATTCACCGACGACACAAATGTAGGATGGTGGATGGGTTTCACGAATTTTAAATGACGACCGAAAAAGGCATGTGTTCGTTTTGCCCAATATTTCTTAGAAAAAATTGAAAATGGAGAGTCTAGCACCTTTAGGAAAATAGTAACAGGTGATGAATCTTGGTTCTATAAGTACGATCCATGGTATGGAGCGCAAAAGGTGCAAATCCCTCAGTTAAATCAAGAACACAAAAATCAGCAAAAAAAGCGATGGTGTCAATTTAGTTTACCAGAGTAAAAGTGGTAGCTGCTAATTGATATAAGCGTAAATTATATATCTTATATTTCTTTACTTTAAGGTGAGGTAAGACGAGGAATCCAAAATTAAGTACTACATTTTTTTTTAATTTTCTTAATATAATGATTCTGGAATTTTCTTTTTTTTCAAAATTGTTTAGTTATTTGCAGTCAAATATGTCATGTTATTTATAAATAATTGCAACAAGCTAAAGTGTAAATTGTACACGTTATATTATATTTTATTAGAAACTTTAAGGTGAGGTAAGGCGACGAACCCAAAAACAATTCTCACGTTATTCCCGTAGTCACACGGCCGAAGATTTCGTTGAGAAACTAAATCGATTATAAAATATGTTATACATAGTATTTACAAAACAACAATTCCTGTAAAAGTTTCGCGCTTTCTCGAAAATTTCATAGAAATGAGATTTGCCATTTAAATGGCATATGCAAATTATCATATATTTTAAGAGCGTCTTGCTTTGATGCAAAATGTATATTTATATACAATTTCCTCCAAGTTTAGATGTTATATTAAACGTTTGATAATAAATTTGTTTACTTTTGATGAGTTCTGATTGTTTGTAAAACCGGTTAAGGAAATGTGCAATTTTGTACACAGATATTATTATTACGGTTTCGAAAATAGGAAGATCGGTATCAAATTGTATGAAGTGTGTATGTGCATGGAGAACAATAAGCGGCAACAATAAATAAGGAAATATTGCGCGATTTAATGGAGATAAACGAATTGCATAAATCTATTTAAAGCATTATTAAGCGCGCGATAGAAATGCTAAACGACAAATGTTTGATGAACTTTAGAGCTGCTGCCTTAATTTAACCTTTCCATTAATAAAATATCTCCAATTAGATGTATTAAATTCGTTTATAAGCGCATAACCGCACACACATGTGCGATATTAAGCGGAGAAAACATTACGAAATATCACGCCGCACGCACATGATGATGTACGAAAATCTTCCCAAACAACAGTCTCGAGGATAACCCAGATTTAGTTCATCCTTGCCGAAGGCATCTTTACCAAATGAGCTGTCTTGTTTTTATTTTCATTTTTTTTCACTCAATCTGCCGCCTCTCAGTTGGACATTAAGATTATCGCGTTTTTTTTTTCTTGCATAAAATTGGAATTTTATAGCTATAAATGTGGAGTAAATACGTGATTAGTATTACGAGGATTATAAATTAACTAATGTTTATACGAAAAAGTTAATTTCATAACTTGTATAATTAATTAACTTCGAATGTCGGCGAATCGTTTTTAATTTTCGCACGTACACAGTTTTACTCGCATACACACAAAATGTTAACGTTTTATAATTTTATTTATTGTTGCTTCTTGATATTTATAAAAGACTACAATTTGCATAAGCTATCTCCGCAACATCACTTATATCACTATTCTGTATGCTCATCGATTTATTGCGACATTTTCATCTTTATTGTCCTCATGCGACGATACATAAATAATACATAATTCTGCACGCCTTTATTGAAAATCGTGCGATTCAATGCAAGAAGCACAGATCTGTAAGAAATAGAAGCAAATAAATATAAACGCGCATACTCTTGTTTTTCTTCTTCTCTTTTTCGAGCAGCGAAATTTGCATGGTTTATTGTCTCGTGCGACTGAGTATAAATAATCGAAGCAACGACATTTCACTAATTGCTTTTTGCAAATTTCTTGTATTTAATGCATATTCGCGTGTCCGTATCCTTGAAAACGGTGCAGACAATCCTCTTCTCAGATATTATATTCACTCGGCGCTTCTGCTACTTAAATGTCAAATTGAGAGTTTATTTACCACACACAGAACAATCTGTTCTCTCCGGATTTGGAATACATGAGTTACAGACGCTCCGCGCGTTCCTTGCTGCAGTTTTCAGAGAACAATGACGAACACCATTGATATGTCGCATACGTTAACGATTGCCTCATTTACCACTTGCGACATTACCACATCCCGACGAAATATAAATAAAGTGCATCACTAATTGTTCACAAATATATTTATATGGGATTGCTACAAAAAAGGAAATCTTGAACTTTACAGTCGTTCAATTGACAACAACATTTATGTACTCCACATTATCTCAATTAAATTGAATTACACGACAGAGTATTAACAGTTTCAATTATATCATATTTAAAACTTATATATTAATAATTTATATACTAAATATGAATTGTGTCATAAAAGCACTTTTATTATTTTGTTTATAAATAAATTGTAAATAAAAACATATATTTCAATTATTTGTTAACTGTTATATAAGACAAAATAGTTATCTCTAGTGGCTATTGAGATGTATATTCTTGTAATAAGATTTATATAATTATAATATAATTGAATTTTAACAACATTTTCAACGGGCAAGAATTTTAACTCATTCCTAAATCATTTATAAAAATGCTAAAATAAGCTTAAATATCGTACAATGATGACACCAGAACACAATGATAATTACGTTTACAAATAACCAAATATTCCTATGCAAAACATAATTAATACTTTTCTATTATAATTTTCTGGTGACGTTATATGTTGAAATTTATTAACTGGAAGACCTTTGACATTGAGCATGTGACGAGAATCAGGAAGTCGCTTTGAAATCGCCGTGTTTAACCTAACACATTGACAAACGCGACAACACTAGCATTAGTATCTTATCATCAATAATGCAAAAAAATAGAACTTTCTATATTTTAAATGTTAACGCGAATCTTCTGCATTTCAATGTTTCATTATATTAAGAAATTGAAGTATACATTGCTAATTCTATTCGTTTTTTTAAAGAAAATGAACAATGTATGTGTTGACATAGTGCAAATAGTGATCAATTCGCGAAATGACTAAGAAACGTCCCATAAAGTAAGATTAACGAGTATCCGTTTTATGTTGCCGCATACTTCCTATAAAATTGTTCGGATTTACTACCGAACGTAACCTTCGTTAACGTAAACATATATGTCACTCATAGTACTATGACGTCTTATAAAGATAGTTAATTTCATTTTTTAATATCTTTAGTACTTGAGTAAACATTGGATTTCTCAGATGGATTATTTTTTATTATTTTTAACGATTGAAAAAGCATTGGAATTTCTAAGAATAACATATTAACTTAAATAATTAATGTAAATTTTAAATATTAATTTAGAAAGATTTCATTTATGTTATTCGTTTATTTCAATTGTATATTGTAGAAGATATTTTAATAAATACAATTTTTTATTATATTTTGTGTTTTAAAAAGTATTAGAATTCGCAGATATAAAATATTACTTTATAAAGATTTTGATTCTGTTTTTCATTTGTTTATTTGAAGAAGCATTAAAATTAGCAGGAATAAAATATTACTTTATAAAGATTTTGGTTCTGTTTTGATTTATTTATTAGAATAAGCATTGAAATTTAGAAGATACAAATTTTGTTTCTAAAATTAGCAGGAAGTAGCAGGAATAAAATATTACTTTATAAAGATTTTGCTCCTGTTTTGATTTATTTATTAGAATAAGCATTGAAATTTAGAAGCTACAAATTTTGTTTCTGAAATTAGCAGGAATAAAATATTACTTAATAAACATTTTGACTCTGTTTTTCTTTTATTTATTTGAAGAAGCATTGACATTTTCAATTGTCGACTACTTAGATATTTAAATGAATACGATATTCAATAATGAGTTGTTCGCGTGGACTTAATTATTAATGTAATTACTGAGAAAAGAAAATAAAAACAACAGCAATTGTTTATGCTGATGGGACTGAAATGAATACATTATTAAGTGAAATAAACATATTTCTTTACTAGGATATCTCGACATGATGGTATCATTTTGGAATGTAGGGAATATTTCTATAGATGTTGTGAGTGCGGATGGTATGTGCCCTCCTGAACGTAACCACCCAATGCAAGTGGTAGTGGTAAAATGTCAGTGAAGACACGCCGCGAGATCCTGAAGATTCATAGCAATCATATATAAGGCCCCACGGTTCGGACAATCTCAGTTACAGCAGTAATAAACTGTTCAACATACAGTGATCAAATTAATTAATTAATTTTATTTAATTCAAATCTATTTAATAAACATGAAATTGGTAAGGCAAAAAACAACAATATTATTTTTTACATATTCTAATTAATAATCTCATTACTCATTACACAAACTCATTACTTACTTGTATTAGTTAATTATTGTTTAAATATATAAAATAATAAATAAATAAACACAAATATTATACAACAATACTCGTAAAGAGATTTTATATGGAAGAAAACAATAAAATTCCATAAACTAGCTAACAGCTTTGTCGCGTAACCTCAATAAATAAATTCAATGTTAAAACGACGATATAAATGTCGAAGATGCAATCGGATATTCTTTTGGAATTCACTTAACATTTCACCGGCTGCATAATTCCCTCGTCTTCTCGATTAATATGCATTTTTTTAGCACATTCTATTAATAATATATATTTTTTAAAAGTAATTACAATAGCTGCATAATCTGAGAGTAAATTAGAGATGAAAATAATAAGTAATCAGATATTATTATTATTATTTAAAAGATGCTTAAATGCCAATTGGTTTTTGAAATCCTTTTACTTTCACCATTCATTTATATAAATCTTCGCACAGTTTTTTCTCCTTTGCATTTTTTCATAAATTCCTAAACGCATTTAAATGGCGTTTGCATTCGAATCAATCAATTTGCATTTCGATTTGAATCCATTGTATACTTCTTTCATGGCACAATACGCATTGTTATTTTTAATTTTAATTTAGTTTTCTTAATTAATTGGTTTAACTCACCTAAAATTTAGGAGATGACACTTCAACCACTTTCAACTTGTGACTGAATGCTGCTTCATTTAGTTTATTAATTAGAAAATTGCACTAATCATAGTTAGCACCTTGCGACGCGTTGTTTTTGTTCATTATTTTCTATTGACTTTTTCAATGAATATATTTTTGCTATAACATAATCACATATTATTCATTATTATTATTTCTTAAAAAAAATATGAATTTCGTTTAAACTTACAAAAAATCTACATATAAATCAGTTGAACTATCTTACGTATTCTTTATACTTAGTTATTTTTTTTACATTCTTAGATAAAAAAGAAGATAGAAACTATAATTTATTTGTTTGCTAAAAGAAACTTTTCTAAAATGTATTCATGAAATTTTTGTATTATTTATGAGAACGCTCTTTGAATAAATTTGAAGCGAAATTTCCATTGTTAAATTGCACGCATTTTTCAGAAATTACTTATGTGTAATTGTAAACAGAAAAAAAAAACTATAAACTATCTAAAGAAACCGAAAATTTTACTTTCGGAAGATCAAAAATGTTGGACAAGAATATCTATTTTCATCAAGATTGACAAGGTTATTGGTATTTGGTAATTAAATTAATAAACATGTTTTTTAAGTTGTTTTCTTAACTATGGTATTTCTATGAGAGATGTCACTACTTGATATGATTCATGTAAATCGTTCGAGATAATAAACGTAATGTTATGTAATTTTTTGTAGTGTATTGATGTGAAGTAAAATTTAGAGTTTTTTTTAAATTTAATGATCTAAAATGGTCTATATTTACATATTGGAATGTTAAAGTGTTTTTTTATTGGCAGTTGCACAAATCAATCATTTGATGTGAATCGATTCGTAAGGTTTTTTTTTTGAAACATTATTTACATAATGTTGTTACTTTCTAATTGACAGATGTTTCATATGAAGTTTTATGTATATAAATTGATTCGATTTTTTTTTCTGATTTGATTTGAAATTGGATCAAAGTATTAGTTAATGTTGTTACAAATTCAAATATAGTTTTTTGATTGAGTTATGTTATCTTTAGGTATTCGTTTTGGCCGGTTTGATCGCCGTATCGTTGGGAGCGCCACAAGGTTCAGACAAGGATGCTGTGGTGGTCAAAAACGACCTGGACAACATCGGAGTCGACGGTTACAATTGGGCGTAAGTGAAAAACTTGATCTAGTCGAGGTGTGAAATCCGGCGGATTATGTCGTGCGGATCGTGAAGAAAGAAAGTTAGAGGCATCATCCACCCACTGGATGATGATGGTAGTTGGGTGTGCCTTGGGGCCACCGGTACTGTACCGAAGCGTCTTCTCGTGACATTACCATTCCAAACGAATCCTTGCGCAACGGCAACGATGCTGCCTGCATGCACGATGCCTATCACACGATTGTTATCATCTGCCGTCAGTCAATTGTGTTGCAATGATCATCCTGCACTCTTCTCTTTCGCTCTGTTACAGTTATGAAACAAGCAATGGCATTTCCGCCAACGAGCAGGGCCAGCTGAACAATGCTGGAACGGACAATGAGGTTATCGCCGTCAGGGGACAATTCAGTTACATTGGAAAGGATGGAGTCAGCTATACTGTTACTTACATCGCCGACGAAAACGGATTCCAACCGCAGGGAGCTCACCTTCCCAAAGTCTGATGAATCACCTTGCCCCCTGAACCTCAATCCTCATGCGAAGCACACCTTTATCGATTTGTGATTGACCTACCCCTTGCTCTTTGATAATTTTCATAAAATTATCAAGCAGCAACGGATTCAAAAATCTAATACTATATTTATGTATATAAAGTGTATAAAACATGCAGCGACAACAACAACAATAACAGCTATTTTTTTTATATAAATAAAACAATGTCAAAAATTTATTTACACTTTTTATGTTTACCTTTCACAAATAACATTTTTAAGAATAAACAAAATATAATATCATATTGTTTCAATACACCAACTTATTATAATATTTATTATTAGTACCAGCATGATCCGTTACGTCATTATTTTAGGTTAGAACGACTTAGCTTAAAGCCACATTTAGAATAAAGTCTATTAAAAAAAGTAAAAAAATAATAATAAATAATCGTTTTGACTCTTAAACTGTCATAATTGAAGCAAATTATTACCAAAAAAAACTAAATCTATAGCATCGTCATCGGATGTTACATAAAGCATTAAATATATGGATCTTCAGAAAAAAAAAACTAGAAAATTTGTAGCAAAAAATTAATGAGAGATCAATTCTTATTGTTTTTCTACACACACCCATTCTTCGCAAAAAAAAATGTCCGAAAGGGTTTGAGAATCACTGCGTTAGATTAGGAAATGTCACTTGACTTGGCAAGGTAGTTTAGATAGGATTATTTAAAAAAATGAGGTGTAGGTAAGAAACTACATCCCAACTTTTACGTAATATATTTACTATTTAAAAATTGCTGGCATGTAAATATAAAGAAAATATAATTACATATTTTAAGTTGACGCACAGTATAAATATTTTATATAATAAACCATTTAGTTAACACACACGACTCTTCCGTTTCACTGTCATTGTAGTGATCGAATACCAAGATTACCAACAATATTTTATTACGTTGCCATTTACGAGTAAAATGTTGTTTCAGTATTTTGACAAGTTGCCAAATATAAGAAATTTATTAACTTTCACGCACTTTTACAAAATAAGAGATTTTCTTATATGAATAACATATTTAAAACAAAAATTGAATAACATATAGTATTATTGATGTCATACAATTAAAATTGCGATGACTAAATGCAATTCTAATGCACAATCACGAATTCACAAAAAAATAACTTGTTTACAATCCATTCACCAAATTGCTGTAATAATCATTAAGTAAAAAAAAACAAACATTAAATAGTTATCTGCTATTAAATTAAAATCTATTAAACTAATATACCGATTAATTACAAAAATCTATATCACTTAGCGGACGGTGGGAAAGATGAGATCCTGCAATCCATTTAAATTTTTTTCGTTGTTGTTTTTATTATTTCTCTCAAATTGGCGATCCTCTTGCTGATTAGTTCAAGGTAACTCAATCCTAATAACTCTGAGGAAAAGTTAAACAGCTATAATTAAAGTAGAAGATACGAAAGAAAGAAAGAAATAAAAGAGCGCGCGGTAACGTGTCTTCTTCCTTCGTGAGACGTAATTATTTTCTGTTTCTCTGGAACCTTGACCTATTAAAGAGGGAATCCGATTGAAAAGTATTAGCTTTGAGTAGGCGCCACATAACGTGTTACGCAAATTGCAATACATAAACACACACACATACGTATATATAGAAGAAGATGGAATTCGAAAACTTTCCTTAAAAATCGTTTCCTTATTTCGTTTCTATCGAAAATTACGCAACAATCGTCAATAATCGAAGCACCGAACAACAATAACGTCAGTGGGTTATTTGTAATTTTGAGAAATCTGCTTTAATATGTGCTTTATATAACTTTATAGATGTTGTTTATATAATTTGAATCTGGATGCTCACTTGCAAAATTAAATATATACATTTCATAAATATACAGTAAAATCATCGCATAGTGCGGTTCGGTTCACTATAAGTTGAAAATTAAAATTACAAAATTTAATTGATAAATAAATAAATTCTAAAAATTAGTACACAAAATCTATTTTTGGATTTGTACGGTTTCAAAGAGATTGGCGACTGGCTGTGTATACACTTTTATATAAGTCTAGTTGTGTAGTATAAAATGTTGGGCGAATATATCCGCCACTCGTCCACATACATGATTGTGCTCGTAAAAACAAATACAATTTTGCTACCAGAAGAAGCGACTTAACCTTCATATCCACAAAATAAGATGTTCGTTAGCCGACAATGAGTAACATAAAAGTCATATATCAACGATAAATTTTTATTCACGGAAATAACTTATTTCCTGAAAATTATTTGTTACCATCAAAAAGTTTTATATAAGTTTTAAATATATTTAATGATATTTATGTCTAAACTAGTTTTTATATTGTTAATTGCAATAATTCTGATTATGTATTATATCTCTACGTGCGAAGCAGAAATATCAATGATTGATGATTTTAGTAATTTAAGTAAATTATTACCAATATAAAAACAACTAAATCTACGGCATGGTCATCGGATGTTACATAAACCATTAAATAAATGGATCTTCAGAAGAAAAAAAAACTGGAAAATTTGTCTATTATAAAATGAGATAAACATACATCAATTTCAAGGTTACTGATGATGTTTTTTTTGTAATTTCCTGAGTTAAAAATGTAAAGAAACATTAATGTATTATATTCCGTACAGGAAATACACTAAAAACTATTGATATTCGCAAATATTATGTATAAAATAGTGTTATATTTATAAAGTTATTATGTAACTTGTGTGTAAAACGTGTGTGTATGTTATAAGAATGCTGTCTGGTACGAATGTCTAGGCAAAGGCCAAGTTCAATGAATTGTATCAGTTCAGTGTTAAACTGCTCTGAATAAAGCAGCCGGCTGCAATTAAATGTTCCTTGAATGGAACGAGTTTCGTAACGAAATTCTACAGCGAAAACAACTAAGCGAAACAACGCTCAACGTATAATTAAAAAAAAGACGCATTATTGAATCTGTTGAGCTTCGCGTCAAAAAACGTTTTATGTATGCTATTAATATGCATTCAGTATTACTAACATTTATTAATTATCAATTAATTAATGTTTAATTATTTCGTTACAAATTTAATTTTAAATAAGAATTAGAGAGCTCTAAAATACTGATTTTTTTTTAAGTTCATTGTTGTTATATTTTAGTTAAAAAATATTATAATAAGCAATTTTTTGATATAATGCAAGCATATATTTTGCAAAATATATTTTGTTTGTACGCTCTTTCTAAGTGCAAACGCATAATCAATCATGTTATGTCATCCATCAACGATGTGGACATGAAACTTTCTCGACTCGATGTATTCAAATGCGTATTGAAATCGAATAATGAGGATGCAATTGTGATTGAATTCACGTCGAGATTTAATAATGGAAATGCACGGTGCCGGTAAATATGAAAGAAAAGAAATGGAAAGTGGATGAGAATGATGATGATGATAAACCGAAATAGTCTAATTCAATGTTCAAATGTTTATTGAACAGTTATAAATCGGGATGGACTTGTTTAGAAGATGGTTAGATGCGAACTGCGAAATGACGCAACAACTGAGCGATAATCAGCAGAGTAAATTATTAGGTACAGACTGAGAGGATGAGACTCAGCCTCAGCGCATATCGAATGCAATAAAATGCGAGTTGCTTAAGGGATCGATAATTGGCTATTACCATTATTACGTTTCAAATCACTGAATTTATATTATTAACATATCCGTTTGGAATGCGACGAGCGGATGGAAGACAATGAGATGTTTAGGAATCGTGTGCAAATACCAACCAGACACATACATATACATACGTAAGAATATACCACTATGACAAGGTTATGGGAAAACGATGAGAGATGAACCTTTAAATGTCAAAATATTACTTCGAATCCCGTACAATATATTGTTCCAGAGCACCAATTATCTGCACAATACTCAAAATAGATACAACAGCAACAAACAAAAAAATAAACAACTATTCAATTTTATTTATCGCCTGCAATTATTGCGAAAACGTGGAGGAAGGCACAGAGACGGACGTCTGGATTGCGCAGTCCGTTGTGCAACGAGCAAATATTCTGCAGAATGTGGATAATCGAAGAGGGGCGTTCATTTTTTTTTCGGCAAATGCTTTGTTCAGAGCGAGCGTCGTACCGTGGAGGAGAGCAAGAAGATCGACTTCTGAAGAGGCTATTTATGTAATCAAAATTGATCAATCGCGAAGAATATGCTTGTAGAAAGAACAGAATCGTTGATGGCCTTTGACGCACTTTCCCTATTCCAAATATTTGACTGCATTTTGATTTAATTTCCTTTGATTATATAAATCATAAAGTCGAGAGTAGAAATATTTGAAATTTTATTGATCTTTATAATTTATATTATATTAACAATTCGAATATTTCATGAAAACAAAACGATAATTATACTTTTTATCCGAGATAAAGATGTACAAAATTAGAATCCCCATTTCATCAAGTTATATAACAAATTCGCATAATCATATATATGAAACTTTAGGTTTATTAGGTTTACGTAGAAATCGCTTTTTATAAAATACGAGAAATTTAAAGAAGATTCGAATAAATTATGTTAATATATTTTTTGGTCATAATCCAAAAATAACATTTGAGGAAGAAAACCCCCACTTCTTGCATCTGATTTAAATATACTTCTATGACAATATGAGTCGATGACCCTCGAGAATGTAAAGTAAAGATTAAATGAATACATAGAATATGTCGCGATTTAATTAAATAATTCTATTAACATTGCGATCAATACAGGTGCAAAAGGGAATTTAGTGAAAACATGACAGAAACATCCTTAGATCAAAAGTCAATTCGTTAAGCTACCAAGGACAGAGTAGTTTCCATACAAGCGGTGGTTGTCAACGTTTCTACGGTTCACAAAAGGATAACCACAATTAGTTATTTATTTAAGCTGTATACGGTATATACACTTACAAGATAATTCCAAATCCGACTTGACAATAAATATACAACACGTATCATAAACTAGATGACTTCAACTACTTACAATTTCCATCAGCTTGACATTATTAATCGTGACAAATGTTAGAAATAAGATATAATTATGATACATTATTGCTATATATAAAATCTTTTATATTTTTTAATCAAAATAAAAATGTATTTGTTTATTCTTCATTGACTTTTTACGATATATGAGATATATTTGCTATAAAACAGAGTTTTGTAAATAAATAAAAAAAAATGAGATATATTCATTAAACTTAGTTTAATAAACATTCAAATATATATATATGAAATCGACATTAACTTCAAATAATGTAGCATTTCTGCATGTCATTGAAAACGTAATATTTCATAAAATTAATAAAATTTGGACACTTAGTTTTTATGCTTAAACAATATAAAACCATATTCTTAATTGTAAATATTTTAATAACTTGTCTTAAAGTCTTCTTCGTTGTTATGAAAGACATTTTAATTGAAGAGTATCCGAAAATGAAGGAGGGAAACAGACAAAAAAAATATGTGGTGGGACCATTCTTTCGTTAGTATATAAACCGTGGCCAGAGATACCAAAAACCAGAATCATCTCATTGTTTCTTCGAACAAGAAATTCCCAACAACAAAAATGAAAGTGGTTAGTGATTTAGTCATACTCCTTTTGGATTATTTTGAATGGACGGCAGTGAATTAATAAATACGTTTCGCTTTCTTTGCAGATCTTCGTTTTGGCCGCTTTGGTAGCTGTAGCTTTGGCTAAGCCTTTGGACTCCGACAAGGATGCCCAAGTCTTGA